GGTTATAGTGAGGCACTTTCATCAGACGAAAACGTAGGTGTGGAAATTGGTGTTTAATGAACAATACTGGACACGAATGTTTGTTCACACGTAGTTCGCTTTTTCCAGCAGTTTTTCGGTCGTAGTGATAGCTGCCCCATCGATTCCAGCTGTGGAAATTCCCACGAGGGTGTTTGATGTCGAGCCCTATATCGTGTGATGCAGTGGTGTACGCTAATTCTTCGACGTTCTTCCAAACATGGGATCCAGGGTCTAACGGGGAGGGAGGAGTTTCGAACAGCAATGTTGTCTCTCTAGCCAAATGTTGCGACACCGTTTACTTTTCCCTTATTATCTAGCTTCCAAAGAATTATTATATAATAAGAAGACACACTCCCTAATAGCAGGCTGTGGATTGTGGGGTTTACGTGGGCAGGAGTGGGCACTAGACAATACCTAAAAAGCAAGAATGACCGAAAGGAGCAGGCTGAACTATTAGTTAACTGTCCCGTTCTGTCTAAAGAAAGCAAAGCAGGTCCAATGTGGGTGTTGGACATCGGGGTGGGCGTGTGGCATCTTGTCAAATATGCGCTATCGTCTTTTCCGCTAAGAAGATCGATTGGAGAACATGACAGTTCTGGCTCTTGTTTCGCACCGCTCCATCCATCTTTTGAGAAAATTGTTTTCCTTAGCTGATCGTGGAATGCGCCCTAACAGGCAGTAGTGTGGAACACCCTTCTGGTCGAAACTCTTCGCCCAAGTTGGCGAATTGATCGACACATGTCTTCTTCTGCGCCATCTCTATCACATTATTATTCCTGTTGCGCGTGTTGCCGCTCTGCAGATACGATCTTTATTCCTCATATATCTTTTCGTTCTCTCGAATTCTATTCCAAAATTCCATGAATCCGGATGCATTCCATAATCATTTCATGAGATAATTTTTACAGTTAATCAGTTACTAAGCACTAGTTCCATTATGTTTCATGCTGCTCATCATTTCTCGCTGTTTACCGTCCAGCCGTTGAGTGCGAAATTTGATTTGCTCAGATGTTACCCTTCTAAAACTATGAGCAAAAAGGGAGTCAGTCAGTTTCTCAGGAACTTAATTAACTTGATGGCTCGCCATATCCTTAATTCAGAGAGCTTCTAAACGTGGAGGAAATGTCTTAGATATTCCCATAGTATTTAGAGACCTTTTTTTTCAATTTTTATATAATGATTGAGCGGGGGCGATGTAGTGGCAAGTGAAGCACTTCACACACGCAGTTCGAATCCGGAATAGAGATGCGCCTAAGTCATCCATCTCTCCGGGGCCGATGAATCGGTACCAGACTCGTCTGGGAGGACAAAAGCACTGACTTGTACATTGGCTGGCCACCGCCTGTCATTGTACCGGCCACATACGCCTTCAGTACGCCACTACGATTCCGAATGGAAACAGTAGGGGATTGATGGAAGCAGCAATACTGTCCTTTGTCCTTTTTATGCATGACTAGGTGGCTATGGGAAAGACCAAATAAGCTTTTGGACGTCACCACTACTCTGAAGGAGGTTGGATGCGTGGCGCGATTCGGGACAGAGATCGATTCAATCCAAGAATTCTACTTTTCCCGTCTGCATAGAGGGTGTATAAGCGAGTGTGTAAAACTGAGGGGTATAGGATGATATGTAAGGGTTAAGAAGCCGAGCGTTTTTTCTAATGGACCGCTGTCGGTGAAACATCATTGCTCAAAAAGTCACGGTAATTTGTTGAGGTACACGAAAAGTCCATTAACGAAACACGCACCTTTGGATACTCGTAGGAGAAACCGTTCGATGGGAATTAGGAGTTTGTGACGAGACCAGTTCGAAATGAAACGTGCACAACTGAGATGTACGTGAGAATGTAGAATTCTGCCTTCGTTCTTGCACATATATATGCGCGTAATACTTGCGTCTACCATTCTTATCAATATCGGCGTGCAGCACCTTACGCCCCTACCCTATTCAGCCAATACGCCACTGTGTAATTCAGTTCTTATTGTTTTAAAATACCATCATAAGACTTATTGCATGGAAAGTCGTTGACAGGCATCCCTAGGTGCGAATATAACAACTATAAAGAATCTCTCGGAAATCCTTCAAGAAATCTAGGGATTTTTCCTGGATCTCACAACCCATTATGGCCTGCTCACCTCCTTTGCTAATGCGTTCTTCCCCTTCCTGCACTCTGTGCGCGAACTTCACCTTATTATGTATTTCCTTGCTAAGGTGTTAGGTGCTTCTGTTTGTCATTGTTTATGTTTCATTATGGTGAGATAAGCAGTTATTACCTCAAGAGAAGCTCCTGAATCTAGAATGATCTTGATGTGTGGGTGATACCATTTGATGATTGCAAAGTGGGAATCGCCGCCGATCATAGAGAGTTCACACGATATCTGTAAACGTTTCGTGCTCGAATGGCTCATAAACATTTCTTCAACATCTCGCCATTATGACGTGGTTGCATAACTGCAGCGGGACTCGTGGACTTTGTTTTCTCAACATCAGACGGAAAAAGGCAGAATACTCTTTGATGGTCACGTACGGAACTGGGACAGGCGCTTGTCGTTCCAATGGGTGTTCTTGTCTGTGGTTATCGACACGTGGGGGGCGGAACCTTGGTACGTCCGGAGACACACAGGCACAAAGCATGGCGAATGAGTGCATGGTTTCCTCATATCAATCAAGTCGATGTGTTTGCTCATGAGCAGCTTCAACTGTGGGCCTCGTCGATGTATGCGTACATGCTTTACATCTTGGTGAACAAACGCCAGAGCCGTGCGAATCGCCGGAAATCTTGCAGACTTCATTTCCGGACGCACCAAGCTATCCATGCCTTCGAGACGTGTCATAGTGCGCTCCACTTTTATTCGTTCCGCAGTTTGTGCAAAAGTGGACAGCGCAGTATGCGGCCGTCGCGTGTGCGCTCGCGGACGGGCCGGCGGAGTATGAAAGCGGCCATTGTCCTCGGAGACAGCAGTCGTACGTAACGCCATTTTGGCATCACTTTGTTTATTTGAACGAGCACAGATAATATGTCTACATGGCTCTGCACTCACGAACTCCTGCTAATGAAGTTTTATCGGAAAAAGAGTCGTAGCCACGAATTTATCCACTGTTGGGTTAAGGTAAGTAGCCCGACGCACGTCGAGACAACTAACTAACCAAGGCGTCTAACCAACTACTGCAAAACTTGGCACGGTCCAGAACAGCGAATTATAAACTGCCGCGTCCTGTGAGAAGATCGGGACACTTTCACCTCGCAACAAGTTGTCTTGCAAAATTTAGTCCCGCAAGGGAAACGGAGAGGATCAAAATCTTTCCGACTGGTTGGTAGTTATTGTACCGACAGATTTGTACATTTCGAAATAAACAAAATTGGCCCGAGACCAGATTTTGATCTGGACTCCCGTCAATCGTTTAAGACTAGATGGTGGCAAAATCAGAGTCCTTTCCTATCTGTTGGTTTTTAGCTCGTCTTTTTTTACAACTATTTCTGGTTACCATTGCATCCTCATCCAGAAATAGTTGTAAAAAAGACGAGCTAAAAACGGATAGTTAGGAAAAGGGCTCTGATTTAGGCGCCACGTGATCTTAAATGGTTGACGGGCGTCCAGATCAAAATCTGGTCTTGGGTCAATTTTGATTAGTCGAAATGTACAAATCTGTCGGTACAATAACTATCAATCGATCAGCATTGGTATCTCCAGTTCTCCTGGTCCATATCTAGTAAGCCGGATACTATCATACTGTGTCTGATAGGGGATAGGACGAGGGAAACGAGTGGTTCCCTCCAACTACGTTTCAAATGTAGTGGTCTCCAGTGCATGGTGTTATGCAAATCACTATACGTATTTTTTTCCGAGAAAAAGGCTACACAGATCAGTAATGCCGTTGAAAACGAGCCGTAAAAGAGAGATCATACCGAGCCCACGTTCACTGGGAGTGGCTTTTTACGTGACGCGACCCTCAACCTCCTTTTCTTCTTTCTTTGTCCCGACGGAACAAAAAGACTCATTTGATCCCTTCCGTTCCCTCTGAAATCGCACATAATTCCGACGATCAACGGCTCTGTTTCGTTGACCTCGTCGTAGTTCCATCGCCGTTTCGTTGCCTAAATTATTGATTCATATTTTTCAATCACTGAGCCTAACTGGTTCGGTCGGATTCAGAGCGCCACGTCACCTTTCTGGTTAAATCTTTTTAATTGATCTTATGCTACCGTTTTTCACCGGTCGTTTGAAGTTCGCCTATAAGGGTAACGTTCCTCCTCGTATTTACAACCTCCTTTTGTGATTTTTATGATTGCATATTAGATTTATCGATCAACGATTCCCTTGCATTTAACACCGTTTGAACTATTTTCTAATCAGCGTCTACAAACTTGGCAAGTTTCTGAGGGTCCATTGTCCGTTTAAAAGCATCAGTTATGCAGTGATAGGTTGTCTATTAGTGTAGAATTAGACAATTTAATAGAATGCTACTAATTTCTAAGCTGTGGAATTGTTTTTCGCATCCCATTTTTCCAGAGAAAAAATGCGCTGGGCAAACAATGTGAAATAGTTCGACGTTTCCGTTGATTCATAAGTCCAGAGAAGTTAAAGTTCTTGCAGGATTAGTGTCAAGCCTCATGGCCTAATGTATTCAATGCCGTGACATCTCAGGGAAAGCTCTCCCTAACTGCGATCAAACATTAGTTCAATGGGTTGAGGGGAGAGCTTCGAAAATGAAGACCAGAGAGACAATGGTGTAATGGCCACTACGCCTTCTCTATCTTACAGTCATCCTCTTGAGTATTTCCTATTTGCAGCCGGTTGGGCAGTATGCCCTTAGCAGCAACCATAATTCCTGGGTCTTTTTCAATTCGTGTATCGCACTGTTTAAGTCTTAGTCATTTTCAATGTTATTGCAGTTGCAATCTATTTTGTAGCACTGTTTTGCGAATGCCTTTATATCTCCCTTTGTTATTCTATTCTCTCATGGCTAATATGTTTCAGGCATGTCTGCAAAGGCGGTCAGCGAGCTTTCGGGCAAGGAGCTACTGTATCGATGTCTTGAATGTAGTGGTTTAGTCGATGCTCCTACAGCAGTTCGTCTGTCAGCTGGCGACGACTTCGATTCAGTTGTGAAGGGGGTGACGTGGCTGGGAGGACCACAGGTGAAGGAATTGCCAAAATTTATCCTATAAAGACAAATAAATGCTTGTAGAGCTCTCGTAAAAGTCTGACAATGAGTTGGAGTTTACAGAAGCTGTAGCGTTCTCCTCAATATTTTTATTTCTTTATACGTCAAAGCGACATGCCCAAGAGGCGTAGTAAGAAGCAAAGAATGCCCAAGAAACGAGAGAGAGCATAAAAAGCCCAAAAGACTATGAAAAACGGCAAAAAAAAATACGAAGATCGCACTCAGAGTAAACATTGGGAAGTAATGCTGAAAGTAAACAGTGGATAAGCGAAGTCATATGTATATAAGTTGTATATTTATTAATTTTTATTTATTTTTTTGTAGTGGTATGAAATATGGGGTAGATTCACCTTTTGCATTTCCTATGTGGAGCAGATCTCATGTAGGTGACTGTTCCAGTAATTAAGAGATGAAAATAAATTTTTGAGTTTATCCTCTCATTTTTTGGAAAATATGAAATCTTCGTTAATACCAGTATTTATTCAGAAGGCTGTGATAAAACCAGATCAATTGATAAAACGGCGAGGGAAACATGGTCTCGTCAAATGTGGGACTGTGAACGAGATAAAAAATTGGTTCCAGGAGAAGTCGGATACTCGCGTTCAGGTGAGCAATAGCGTAAGCGAGATGAAATGAGTGGTGCAAAAACATTAGTTGTTGGTTTAGTTTCCATGCTTAGATTCGAATTTCCTTACCTATCAAATATCTTGACTATGCTCTTTGACGACCAATGCATTTGCTCGATATTGAATGTAGTTTTCAATACTGATTACATAATAAATGCAGGGGGGGGGGGATATCTGCTGGAGCCATAAAGAGGCCTGAGCTGATCCGTCATCTAACAAAACTCGAAAATGTCATTTGTAATTTCCTTCTTCTTCTTAAGAAAAAATTCACCATACTTTCAAGTTCCAGTCAAATTTTCTGTTTGTTTAACAGATTGGAAGGACGAATGGTCGACTCCACACATTTATCATGGAACCATTTGTTGCGCACACAGATGCGGACGAGTTGTACATTGCTATCTTCAGTCAACGGAACAATGATGTCATCATGTTTTATGAGCATGGTGGAGTAGATATTGGAGATGTTGATCAAAAGGTATATCATGCCCTCCTTTTTATNTATCTGTTGCACTGAAATTGTTCTCATTCTTATCCTATTATTCTGAGTTCGATTTCAAATCAAAATCGAAAAGTAAAAACTTAAACAGATCTGTAAATATCTGTTGTCCTCATAGAAATCTAGTTGTTTAGGCACGGTCAATCAAAATTGAAGTTTCATTAGATGACAACGACATGGTGCCTACAGACGCTCAACTAAAAGAACTCATTGGAAATCTTGGTGACAGAACAACGTCAGTTGCTCAAGGATTTAGCGTTGATAAGCTTGAAAATCATTCTTTTTAGAGTTCTCGAAACCTTCATTTCATCACTTTACTCTGCCTACAAACAATTGCACTTCACTTATCTTGAAATTAATCCTCTCGGTGGGTTTTTAGAGAAACTAGATTCATACTATTTTTTTTCTAATTTGCAGAATCCTTTCAGTTGTGAAGAATTCCAAAGTATACATACTTGATCTTGCTGCGAAACTAGATGAAACTGCTAACTTCTTGTGTTCTGACAAATGGAAAACACGATCCGGTTTGGCGGTGGAGTTCCCTGCCCCTTTCGGCAGAGATCTCACAAAAGAGGTCAGTCTTCTGAGTCCAGTATGACGACTGTTTTCAAGATCACTGAACTTACGTCAAGTGAATTAAGAATTTGATAATTTCTTCCCCATTTCCTTTTGTTTAAATGTATCCTAACTCTCAAGCTCTTTTTGTGGAGACTGTTGACAGCTGCAATTTGTTTAGCTGCTCATCACACCCCAATTCGTATAACGTTGTATTGGAGTGATGAGATTATCTTTTCTGCTTATCTAGTTCTTTACCATTCTTATAATTATTTACCATTCAGAGTAAGCTTACAATATAAGACAATCGTGTTAGAAAATATTCCATTTCACTCATCTAAATCGCATTACTCTAAGTGTATGATGGACAGAACTCCTGGCTGGATTTCTTTGCTACCTCATCCTTCTTTATCACGGGCCCACAGTATTATATACTTTTTTTCGTTTTTTTTNNTTTTTTTTTGCATTTGTTCACTTTGGACAACCATTCTTTAGGAGCAATACATCGCTGATCTGGATGCAAAAACGGGAGCCTCATTGAAGCTTACGATATTAAATAGGAAAGGCCGCATATGGACAATGGTTGCCGGTGGCGGAGCATCGGTGGTATTCACGTAAGCCCATATGTTTCTTTTAGTTAACTCCTCCCATGATATTGCTCTGCAAACTTTGTTATTTTATTGAATTCGCTTGCAGTGATACAGTATGCGATCTCGGCGGAGCTGCTGAATTGGCCAATTACGGAGAATACTCTGGTGATCCATCCGAAACTCAAACTTTCGAGTATGCAAAAACTTTGCTGTCTGTAATGACGGAAGGTCCACCACATCCACAGGGCAAAGTGCTCATTATTGGAGGTTCTATTGCCAACTTCACGAATGTGGCAAAAACATTTGGAGTAAGTACTTGGGCTTTATGATGAAAATTTCTTTACGGATTTGAGATTATCTCATTAGAAATGAGTTATTACATAACCAATGAAGCAGTTGTTCATTGAGATATTTCGCTCCTTTAACTCCCTTTGAGATAGTTTTCATCGTACTCCAAACTTTTTCTTGATCCTATGGTATTTCCTATATGATAATACATATATGTATCTACTTTAGGGAATTGTGCGTGCGTTCGAGGTGTATATTGAGCGTCTCCGTGAACACAAAGTGACAATTTTCGTTCGCCGTGGTGGTCCTAATTATCAAGAAGGTCTCAGAAGAATCAAGGATGCAGGTCAGCCTTATTTCAGGTGTTACATCGTGCATCTCAGAAAATTAGCGGTTTTCAGCACAAAAGCTAGAATTACCAATCCATGTCTTTGGCCCGGAAACTCATATGACTGCTATCGTTGGAGCAGCACTTGGCATCCATGATCTTCCGGCAGTACCGCATGTTCCGCAAACTACTGGGCAATTCCTTTTGAGCCCGGAAAGAAATGTAAGAGCTTGTTAGTGTTCCTCTAAAATGGCTTTTCAAATATTTGAGATACATTTTCATTACAGACGGCTGGAGGTGTGCGCGCCACATCCAGGCACCCATCTAACGACCTCAATTCGAATGCAGCTGCTGGTGACTCCACAGCTACTGCAATTATGAGTAATTCTGATGAGGTGACCTTTTGAACTCTTCTCTTTCTTCGATGTCTCCTTATTTATGTCCCTTGATGAATTGCCCTCTGATATCGCACCATATCTTACAGGCGCACAAACTGTATGACAGCCTTTTTGAGAACAACTCGAAGGCTATTGTATGGGGCCAACAGCAAAAAGCGATTCAGGTAGCGTTTTCTCAATTTCAATATTAGATGTTATAAAGTGAGCAGTGTTACTGGTTTTGTGGTATTTTCACTAAGCAAAGAAGCCGTCTTTCTACTTTATGTCAAAGAAGAAGATGTGTATTTGAAAAGAGGTAGATTGGCGGGTCTTGTAGGGTATGCTCGACTTCGATTTTGTCTGCCGTCGACTGGAGCCATCAGTTGTTGCATCGACTTATCCGTTTACGGGTGATAACAAACAGAAGTACTACTTTGGACAACGCGTAAGCATTGTTTTCTATTAGCCAAGCTCATGCAAACTTAAATATCAAGCATTTAGGAGATCCTGATTCCAGCTTACAAGTCCATGGCAAAAGCGTTCGCAACCCATCCGGAAGCAACCATCCTTGTCACTTTTGCATCGCTTCGATCTGTGTTCGAAACTGTACTGGAGGCACTCCATTTTCCGCAGATTCGCGTGATTGCCATTATTGCCGAAGGTGTACCAGAAAACCAAACACGTAAACTGATCAAGGTAGGCAGCTGAGCTACTCATGTTAGTTAGATCACTGCTATTTCATTTACAGGTGGCCTCAGAGAAAGGGGTTACTCTGATCGGGCCGGCTACGGTTGGTGGAATCAAGCCAGGATGCTTCAAAATTGGAAATACTGGAGGAATGATGGATAATATTCTAGCATCGAAGTTATACCGTCCAGGAAGGTTGGTGCGGCATCTTAACTGCTAATTTCTTCATAGTTATTTATCGCGAGTAGATCTATTAGGATTTTCAAAAAGCAGAGATGTATGTAGAGAAATAAATGGGATCATTTTTTCGCCGGAAAAGTTTTATCAAATTTTAGCGTGGCTTACGTTTCTCGAAGTGGAGGAATGTCCAATGAGCTAAACAACATTATCGGAGCAAATACAGATGGTGTATTCGAAGGTATTGCTATTGGAGGAGATCGCTATCCAGGGTCTACCTACACTGATCACATCATGCGATACCAGAAGGATGACAGGTACGGCTGTCAAAGTCTGCAAACCCTTGATGTTCGATTTAATATTTGCTTTCTTGAAGCGCTACTACTTGGTTGTTGACGTTGCTTACAGATATGCATTTTTAGCTGTTTTCTATAGATAAAGTAAGAACTTGTAAAAACTTCCGTCCAGTGTGCTGATTTCAGAGTGAAAATGATGGTGCTCCTGGGAGAAGTCGGTGGTATTGAAGAATATAAGATTGTTGATGCCTTGAAAGCCGGGAAAATCACAAAGCCACTCGTGGCGTGGTGCATCGGAACATGTGCCGATCATATAACCTCGGAGGTGTGCGAGTTTCATAATTTCAGTTGATAGAGCATTTAGCATTGTAAAGTGCTACTGTTTTTAGGTACAATTCGGTCATGCGGGTGCGTCCGCAAATGCTCTCGGTGAGACTGCGGCTGCGAAAAATGCAGCTTTGAGAGAAGCCGGTGCTCGTGTACCTCATTCCTTTGACGATCTTGGTCAGTCATATTTTGATAATCGTTTCAAGGATCGAGTGCAGAGATTACTGGATACCTTCTCTTCAGGGAAACTCGTGAAGGAGACGTTCAACGAACTGGTTGACCAAGGAATCGTCGTGCTTCGGCCGGAGATTCCTCCGCCTGCCGTACCTATGGACTATGCTTGGGCGAGAGTAAGCTTCTACTTTGCAGTGCAATATTAGAGTTTTTACAAGGCGTTCTTTTGAGTACAACGTTTTTCGGAGCTTTCGAGCAACCCTCCCAGTTGTTTTTTTTTTCATATTATTTGGATTCTTAAATCAAGGTCAACGAGTTACCGAAACCGGCCACAACACGAAAACTTTTAGTTCGATTGTGTTTATGGGTAGATTATCATGTCTTTTATCAGTTCAGTCATTTTTTAATTAAAATTTTGTGTTTAGCAGAGTTCATACAATTCCTTTATTAAGATTTCCTTTTTGTAGGAACTTGGTTTAATCCGTAAGCCTGCGTCGTTCATGACTTCAATTTGCGACGAACGAGGCGAAGAACTCAACTACGCCGGAGTTCCCATTACTAAGGTGCTTGAGCAGGACATTGGAGTGGGCGGTGTGCTTGGCTTGTTGTGGTTCCAAGTAGGTCATTACATTCCAATATATTTTCTGTAGATTTCGCACTTTTCCTCTTCATTTTCATTTCACAAAGACAGAATTGTTCCAATACGAAAGAGCTATTATTTCTTAGAAAGCTTTTCAATTCGGGAGGATTTCATAAATGGTGTAATTTCCAGAAACGACTTCCTGCTTATGCAAATAAATTCATTGAAATCTGTCTAATGTTGACCGCGGATCACGGACCAGCCGTATCTGGTGCACACAACACGATTGTCTGCGCAAGAGCTGGAAAGGACTTGATTTCGTCTCTGGTATCAGGGCTATTGACTATCGTGAGTTTTTTTTTTTGTGGGATAACTTTCCGGTGAACGAAGATAGGAATAGTTGTTGTCGGTCTGCTAGCTAATATCAACGTTGGAAAAAGGTTGTGGTAACCTCTATGTTCGCTTTTTTTGAAATCTGCGCATTTGTTGTTTATAAGAGTTCAATGCCTATCAGCCGAAATTGCATGGTTCCAAACTCATATCTGCCCGCCTGTCAGCTGCATGGGGTTATCTACTACAAAAATGGTTCGCAACCGTAGTCTTACAAATATTCATGACTCAAAGCCTTGATCATGGCAACATCAATTCGATTCTTAATTGCAGGGAGATCGATTTGGTGGCGCGCTGGACGGTGCGGCTCGTCAGTTCTCTGAAGCAGTTGATAAAGGATGGAGTCCAATGCAATTCGTAAACGAGATGCGTAAGCAAGGGAAGCACATTATGGGGATCGGACACCGTGTGAAATCGGTACATTGTGGGCTGCGCTACGTTTCTTCTTATATTTCTTTTGGTTTGGTCCGAAATGAACAATTTGGATTGATTTTTTGCGTTTAGATCAATAATCCCGACAAGCGCGTGGAAATACTCAAAAACTTCGCATTAGATCGTCATCAGTTCAAGCAAGAGACGCCATTGCTGGAATACGCGCTTGAGGTAGAGAAGATCACCACAGCGAAGGTGGGCGTTTTATTCTCCAAGCCCTTTCGTTTTTTTCTCGACTTCACGTTGATTTCTAATTTACTTCCCCCACTCCGCCCGTGTCCATCACTAGTTTCCTTCCAACAGAGCTAATAGTTCTTTTCTCATCCTTCCGTCATCCTGCTGAATGCGCAAGTTTCAGAAACCAAACTTGATTTTAAATGTGGATGGAGCGATCGGAGTGATTTTCGTGGATATCCTGCGTCAATCCGGGATGTTTACCCCCGCTGAAGCTCAAGAAACCATCGAAATCGGAGCTCTGAATGGACTCTTCGTACTTGGACGCAGTCTTGGATTTATCGGTTTGTAACTTTGTAGTGGTGCTCATGATCATAACGCAGAGGCTCTTGTTAGTTTCGGCATTGCTGGATAGGCCGCATTCCCTGGTTCACAATAAAAGCCTCATTTTTGCATTTTTACAGGGCATTATTTGGACCAGCGCCGCCTGAAACAGGGGTTGTACCGCCATCCTTGGGACGACATCTCATATATTATGCCTGAGCGCGATCTGGTAAGTGAACAGGATGCTCGTTATTTTTCTCCCATATTCGTTTCCGTTGTCATGGACAAAGTTTTCAAAGATTTCATTGAAAACCATTCTATTAAAGTGTCCCATCCTTCTGCAAGTAAAATATATAACATTACCAGTGAGCATAGGGACTTTTCACAATGAAATCAGTTCTGAGCGGTGGTTCTAGAAAATTATACTTCCTGCGGTAATAATGCTGAATCACGGACGTCCCTTGATAATTATAATGTCATTTTATTTTGCAGACGTTTACATTATTATCAATACATAATTATCATTATTTTACCCGAAACATTTCTATATTGCATCGCTTTTAATTATTAACTTTTATGTTTTCAGTGAAAGCAATTCCTGCTGACAACACTCCATTCTCCGGTGTATCTCATGTTAGTAATTTATTGTTTCACTTTTTTTTGTTATCTAGAAATATGCTCTTTGTGTGGTTAATATAAGATTTTATACGTGTACATAATAAAATAGAAGTTTATGTACGTTTTGTGTTTTATTAGATGAAGGTTGTTTTGTTATTATGCTACACCTGATGTCGTGCTTGTTTTTAGTCGTTCAAGGGTGAGCTACCCGTGAATAAATAATCTTACTCCCTTTTTTGCATGATGAATTTTCAACGAATGGACTTTTCGTTGAATTGAGTCTTTGGTAATGGCACATGTGGAAAGGAATAGTGTTGGTTAGTCGGGTTTTTCTTAGAAATCTGTGGGTATTAATGTACTGACACTTTGGAAGTAAAGGGGAAGCATCAGCAAAATAAGTCTAAATACTCCACCGAACAAGAATAACACCGAAAATGGTTGTGTATTCAAGTCGTGGTAATCTGGTCATCAGAAGTTTAAGCAACAACATGTTATTCCGTTACTATGTTAAGGGTATTCCACTGTTACTGCCTTACTCTTGGGCTAGCTATATACTAGAAGAGCGTTCAAATGTTGTGAATGCCATTTCAAGAAGTTTAACCTATTCCCAGTTAGCAGTAACATTTAGAAGCGGTAGAGGGGCAGTGTTTTCAGTTCTCCAGCCCCTTGCTAAATGACCTGCTAAGAGGGATAGTGTTGGCTCGAACAGGGGAAGCTAGGGTATTGGTGCTACTACCATACGCGTGGTGATCATATGGTAGAGTTCCTCTGTCTCCAGAACATGGATTTTTACTTCCAATATTCACTAAGAACCTATCTATCATTTGATGTTACAATATGATGGAACACCATACGGAGGGATAAAACTGCAGCGATTCAGTGTTTAATTGGCCGTAATCCGTATTAGTTGAAAATCTGTAACCAGCGCATACCGTCAATAAATGGGTAGGACATTACCCACTCCCTTGGTCGATCACTAATCGATTTTCCCCGACGAACAACTTTCCATACGATTTCTTCAAAACTTGCTGCTAATGAAGTAGTTTCGCCTGGCAGTACGAGCCACATAAAGACATTGCCTAACTTCGTTTTTCCTTTTTTACGAATTCTTCTCATTCGGAGTGGAAATCGTCGAATCGGCAATACTCTCCTTCCTTTCGGGGATAGTCATTTGCTTTACACTTTTCAAGGTGCAAAAGGAGATAGCCGTATTTCTGTATAGCAATTTAGTGGTGATCAACTCATGTGACCTCTTTTGTTTGCATGCACTTCAGAATGCGCTATCCTCCTGAAGCTTTCTTAATGTCCTTGCTTACTCTGAGGATTTGATTTATTAACCAACCTTTCTTCAAAGCAGATAATGATTGGTTTCGTTCTTGGCATTCTGGTCGTACCATTGGTTGTGCACTGCCAGAACGAATCAACACTGGAAACAACGACGACGACGTTGATCCCAAGACAAGTAAGTCGTAAAGGAACTCCTCCTCAACATCTGTGTGGGACGATATCGCCTAGAAAACGGTTTATGTACACCAGATGCACCATTCATAAATTTGCTCCTGCTCGAAATCTTAAAAGAGCTCAATTGGTTCTCATGCTCAAATTCGAGATGTCGTTTGTAAATAGCTACGTACAAGAGCTTTAGTGTGTAATGTATATCTCACGCACGCACTAGACATAGGAATAGACGGACCGGGTTGGACATGTTGATTAGCCGCTCACAACTTACGGTTCTTCCATTAATGAAGAGACATTAATGAAGAGGAATCTTAAAGCAGTTAGTCTGTTCACCATCAGTACAATCCCGCACACTAACATGAGTGACGTCTGGGTCCAAGCACCTTAGCGTTTCCCTATTTTTGATGGAAGGACAAAGCTCAATGGCTAAAGCAGCCTGGCGAATACCTGTCCGGATTACCTGTCAAAATTCCAAAAATTTTAATTAGCCATATCACACATCTAGGCTACCCCGTTTGGAATACGATTATACTTGAAATGAATCCTTCAAAGAGGACGAAACTGATCACTGATAACCTCTTCAGATACCCCATGCGCTTTACTTTCACTCAGACTAGTTCAGCTGTTTGACCAATTGTTTGCAAGAAAATAAAATTTAGGCTCCACTCAAGCCGTCTTATTGTTCTGAAGGCTATAACAGAGCTTATCCTCACTAGTGGAGCATCTGATAGAATTTGAACCAAATAGCAGTAGCCCTTTCTAGCCCCGTACAAGGCTCCGCGTAGCCGTACCTTCATGCTAATGCAACTCGGTTAATGAGTATTATAGTAGAATACTGCGAAGATGAAGACGAGATTCTGACAAAGCCTTACTTTGATAGGTATCGACGACATCGACGTCCTCTACTACAACTACTACCGAACCAACAACAACTAGCACTACAACATCAGCAAATCTTTCATCAACGTCAACGTCCACTGCCACGACCACATCATCAATGTCAACGTCCACTGCTACGACCACAACAACAACACACAGAGTTTTAGCTGCATGCACTGAGGTGTTGCTTTTTATCTGCTTCGATCCAGAAGAGGTTCGACGAGCATTTGGAATGTGCTCGTTCTACTTCATCTATCTTAGTAGTCGTCTCTGAACGTAAAGGGAGCCGATTGTTGCAGAGCGACGCCAGTTGGCTCGCGTGGTCAGAATGGTCAACCTGCTCAGATGACTGCGGATCATGTGGAGTGCATATGAGGACCAGAACTTGCCTTACAACGAATGCACAATGCGTGTGTGAAGGGTAAATCCGTTCAGGACAATTGATCACTTTATTTCCTTTCCTCTTTTTCAGACAGTCCACACTGATTGAATACTGTAATCTGGAAATTTGTCGTTATCCTCGATCAACGTGCTGCTACAATCTAAAGGTATGCTAGCCTAATTCAACCTAAATGCGAAATCTATTACTATCTCATTAGGTTACCTCGCACAATGGAATCTTTGCATGCCTTGGAAGTAATTCCTCTGCTGGAGTACTCTCCCGTCCCTGACTTTCTTTTTATCATGGAAATAACATCTGTGAGAAATCGAATTGTCTCCTGTTACTCATTCACTTGTATAACTTGTCGTCCCGTTGATCATCGATTTCCTCGAGTGGACGGCAGAACGTATAACTTCCGTGTCGAGAGCCAGCTACTATTCATTAATAATGGAGATTCAATTAGAATTAATGTATGGTAATTGTTTTGATAGCAAATGTTGAAAAAAGTTCCAGATCGCCTCGATTATTTCAGTAAAATTCATATAAATGTAAAACATCTGAGATATTGTTGAAAAGTAGAACAGTCCCTGTCGTAGACTCAATCAGAGCTCTAAAAGCTACCCCTGCTACAAAAGAGGCTTTCAGCATGGAGCCCAAGAATAAAATATTACACACTATCGCGGTGCGGCGGTGGTGTAGTGGCAAGTGGCGCACCTCCTCACACGCACAGCCGCGGGTTCGAATCACGAAATTGTCCGCCACGGCCAATCAAGCCTTCCATTCCTCCGGCCAGACTTGTCTGGGAGGATAACGGCTCTGGCTCATACATCGGCTGGCCACCGTAAGTCGTTGTAGATGCCACATACGCATTCAATACGCCACTACGATTCTAAATGAAAGTCAAACGCGTGGGGGCATTCCTCTGAAGGCGTTCATTGGAGACCAAAAACTTTATCCTTATTTTATGTATTATCACGCGAACCAAAATACGGGATGCCTTAAAAATTGCAGATTTATTCGAAATCACTGAGTTTTGCTCCCAAAAGAAGCCTATGTCTCTTTTCCAATGCTTAGATAACGAAGTCGCTTATACTGCTTAGAGGCTACTCCAAACTATTCCACTACTGAACAACTGAACACTCGTCTAGGTTGTTCTTGTCGTGATGAGATTTCGGCGGTTGATCGAGCTGCGGTTTGAATGAGAGACATCGTCTGATTCGGGCCGAAACATCCTAGAAAGAAAAGGAAGTTTAAAGCAATCATCTGTACCACCACTCGTGCTGCCAATCTTCCTCGGCGGGCACCAGTAACGTCTCCAATTCGTTCCTGTCGCGAACCAGAGCAGTTCAGTGACTCGTCATCGCTCGAGTGTCACGGAACAAAACATTCCTTCCGTTCAGAGCTTTCGTGAAGAGGTCTGACCATCGCGCCGCCTGCCATCCTGGTATTCGTTTGACGTCCCTAGGGATTCAGTTGGTAAGCGCCTCAGTTGTCCAACGGTCATCACTACATTTCATGACGTGCCCGGTCCACCTGCTTTTCGATTTCTTATCGCAACCAATGGCATCCCTGATCTTCGTTCGATGACGGAGCTCGGAACTCTGGNTTACTCTGCACTTGCTTGTATAGAGAGATCCCGTTTTTTCCACAGCGCTCCACAACTATTTGGAACGCCTAAGTCTCCAGGTTCAACAATAACATCTGTACTGAAGCTGTATCTGAACCTAACAATCACTGGTAAACTCTTCATTCATCATTGAAAGTGCATTATTATGGCATTTTTACGCGTTAACCGACATATGGGTAAGAACATATAATAGATGCACGCAAAATTAATTGACGAATCGATTGGCACTAACAAACAATGAAAATAATCGATAACCACGACTCATCGTGGAGCTAACAGATTAACACGCCGTATCAAATAGGATTATAGTGGTGGTTACAGTATCGGAAAAAATGGCGTAGAAGTGTGAACTGGTAATAGATCAACTGAAAAGGTCGCTAAGGGAAAAAGTCAAAGGTAGATGTTAACAAAATGACAAATTTAGCACCAGTACCGAACAAATAATAATGTACGATAATGATGACGTCACTCTCGCGCAATCTACCGCTGGATCCGCAAAGGCAGAGAAGAGAGGAACAAAAAGAGGATGAAGAAAGTAAAATCCAAACGGAAACTTCTGAAAAAAAAGCGCGAAGAAGGCGAAAAAGCACGCATGGAGTAGCGAGCGACTAAGTGTAAACACCAAGGCGAACGATCGATAAAAAAGTTGCTTTTCGAAGACACCTTACATATATGTGCATAGCCCCTGTGCAGCGCAGCCGGTTGCATTCGAAATGACATTTCTATGAAGGAAAGTATAAAACAGACGTTGTCGTGGTACGAACTTCAAAAAGCCAACTGAAATAGTCATTGCATACAAGGCCAACGGGATATGACCTGGATTGTAAAACCCTGATTCCTAGCTACTTGTGGTGAATTGTTGAGGTGAAAACCAGCACCTCTAGAACATGAAAAAATGTAAAGCAAAAATAAACTACGTAGTAAACACATAAATACAAAGCCACCGTAACCCGCAGGCTGAGAGAACGCATAACAAACAGAAAACAACGCAGCGATCATGATAGCCGTGAGGTTTTAGGTGAGGTCGTGGGCGTGAGGAAGGAGGTTTCATGATCACATCTTGACAAGGAACAGTTACCCGAATAGTTAGCGAATAAAATGCAAAACGATAATAAAAGATGAATGGACAAAAGAAGACATGGAGAGAAGGCGGTATGGCGGATGCGGATCCACTCGGCGCAGATCACAAACGAACGATGACGCCATCGAAAACGAGCAATAACTAAGCGAATTATAAGGTAGAAAAGGAAGGGAAGAGAAGACAATGCGACACCTATAAGACTCTGCACTCACTACGAATGGGCATGCCAATCCGCAGGGGTACTTTCGATCATTTCAAGTGAACAAAACAGGCTTCGTGGTAACGTCAAGTAGATGAATTTAGAGGTGACGACATACGAAAAACCAGTCCAATTTATTGATCGTCTCCAAAAGCCTCCGGTAGCCGATCAGGGATAGAAAGATCTGCCAGATCTTGCAGAATCGAATCATTGCGACTTTCCTTAACAGAACTCTAAATGTGGGAAGAAAAAACAGTTGGCTGCTTGAGAACTCACATTTCGCACCAGACTAATCTGTGGACAAGGTGAAACCATTCGACGCTGGCTCCCAGCCGGATAACGTCGTCGACTATAAACACAATTTAGGAATCAAAATCAAAAAGTTTTNTTTTATTTTTCTGTGAAGATCGATGAAAAGGATTACCCCTGACTGTTCTCCGCAGAATTCTCGCCCTTCTCCGGAAGTGTTACGACATTTTCATCGGCGGTTGTTACCGGCTGTTCGTGCAGCGAAATACTACGGGTATGCGGTCCGGACAATCCCCAGCCGTAACAGGCCTTTTGTTCGGTTCGAAGGAACGTCACAGCATCCTGAAACATGCACTGAACTTTGTGTATGCCATGAGAACTTCAAGAATTCCCATCTCTAGACCTCAAACTGCGATAGCATTCAAACACTTGCAAAAACTTTTGTAATGAGCCTTTCTTTAAGTGGTTTCAAAAATCTGTATGGAAAAAATTAGAAAACGTGTCTGGACAAACTCTGCAAAATTAGAAAAGCAAGCCAGTTCTGAACGCACATAACCTCTTCGAATAAATGCCGATTCATCTCTTTTCAGCAAATTGTATTTGCCTCTTTCAGCGACATTACTGAACACATTTACTTTCTAAACCTTACAAAACTCACATCTAACGTCTCCGGTAATGGTTTCTCGCTAGTCTCCGGTAGTACGCTTACGAGCATACCAGCGAACAGCGAGAAGATTGCAAAGATGATCATGGGCGTAATTGGTAGCGAGTTTATAGACAGCAGCGCTATATAAGACGAAACTCCTGAACCGAATCGAGCCACCTGAAAGTGAAGAAAATAGACTACAACTAAAATAACCTTGAAAATCTGATCCAATGAGCTAACAAAATAGCAGACAATATTATCATTTGCTGACCCGCCTAACAAAGTAAGGCGACATCGAGTAATGAACTCACCATAGATGTCATCCCTACGGCGGAGTTGCGTATGATCGTCGGATACAGTTCGGAGGTGAAAATGTATAGAATGTTAAAAGCACCCTAGAAATCGATTTTAGCGTCACAACCGATCGATCAAGGTAAAACTAAACTACCAAACTACACCTGAATACAAATCTTCCCGATCATCATGAAGGAGAGCGCAAACATGAAATTCTCACTGATCACTGCTGCCATGGCCACAATGATTGAGATTCCACCGCAAACCAGCGTCAGCATTTGCGCCCTTCGAAATCATCCTATTAATCCATGGTAAATAAATGATGTCAAGAACTCACTTTTTCCGTCCAAACTTCATGAGCCATACACAACAGAAAAGTGTCGGTATTTCAATAGCACCGGCGACGGCGTTGTTCAGAAAGAAGTTACCCGTAAATAGAACTCGGCCAGGCGCGGACTGATCGGACAGAGCTGGAAGCCTCATTTGCAGTACGTATTTAAAAGACTTTGTTCGAGAACGAGTTTAGAGAAATTCAGAGCAAGAAAAGATGGGTTAATGGCCACCATTCCACAGCCGTTGTTCTCCTGTTTACCATTTTTTACTTTTGTGATAAGCATAAGGGTAAGCATATTGAAACAACAAAAGGCGTGTATTACTGCAGCTCAGGTTTTCAACGAAATTCCAGGTCATTTACGAAAAGCGTCGTAGTACAGCGCTAACATGCGAATGCCGGCATAGTGGGCGAACTACGGCCGGAGTCAAGGGAAGCAGTTATTTTCTACCAACAGACCCTTCCATTTCCCATTTAGATTTCGAAAACCGTTTTTTCCATTCAAGCTTCCAAGTAAATCAATCGTAATCACCGATACACTCTGATGTGATTCTCGCTTTGGAAGTCGTGGGTAAACAGCGGATTACCAGTAGTTGGTAATGTTGCTATTGTGTAGAGCTCAGCACGGAATAGCGACGATTTGAAACTCACCAATAACCAGACCGTAGTATACAAGGGCTGTCGCCATGAAGACAATACACACGGTGATTGTTCGGAAGCGTAGCTCTGGTGTTTTAAATAGGTCTAACATACCAACTTTCCCCTGCAACGTAAAAATTCAAAGCATTCCTCAGTTGCATTGAAAAGTCTATTAAACTGTTAGTTCATTGAAGCATACTTGCACGACTATTTTGTAAGCCTATGAGTTCTACGATCTCATCTACTGTGAAAGAAATTAAAATTGAAATTAGTTACTCCGATAGACGAATTTCTTACAAAATTACGATCTGAACAAAATAATGGTGTCCAACTCAAATTCCTACTCCACTATAATTGACCGTACTACGTATTACTTGTTCATGGGTGACTCCTTTATAGTTTCACTCACTAACTCTTCCGTAATTCCATAATCACCTCTCCCCTCTCCCTGACTATTGTGTCACTGAATACGCCATGTGAGTCAAAAGTGTTCAAAAGCTTGTATAAGTCGTTTGACTCGGCAACAGAACGATACCTTCTTATTCAGCCGTTTTTCTCGATGACAGACCAGCTCAAGATCAGACGGCAATGATCCTTTGTTGATTCGGCAAAGATTGAAAGGAAACGGTGGTGTTCTATAAAATCTCAGTCATAACCACAATCCCCAAATTCAGCCTATATATGATTGCAAACGGATATCAAAGGCTTACCGACATGCCTTCCGGATCACTTCTTCAGCCTCGTTCACTCGTTCTTTAACCATTAGCCATCTAGGTGATTCTGGCAGGGAACAAATCAGAAGTACAGCGCCAAAATGTAGACCTGCAGCGATTACCTAAACAGGTTACGTAACATTTCTATAGGTAATTCATCCATATCGTGCAGTTATATGTGCATTTTTAAGCATGTTAGGAAACCGTCAATGTTTTTATCTGTAGGAACAGCAAACTGGTTGAGGGTACTGGAAACAACTATGTACGGGATCGTAGATCGCTTAAAGGAAAACACCAATGTGAAACACACCAGGAATGCCCAATTTTGCACTGATGTCAATCGACTGCTTCAAACAACTTCAACAAGTCTTGTTTTCGGAAATGAAGAAATCCTCCTACCTGCACCGTTTTCCAGCTTTTCGCCAAGTACGCTATAAGAGCCAGAAGGGCGTAACCCATTGCCCATGGAACTTGTAGCATACTGCCGACCATCGCTCGATATCTTGTACCTTAAAAGCTACTAGTTCTGGTAAAGTCAGTGTTCGCCGAAGAAATTCACACCAGATTATTCAATTTTACAAATTATACGTGACAGCGTGACTTACCCGTGATTTCCATACAAAGCGTATAGGCGGCAAGATCAGCTGCTTCGTTACAAATAGCGCTACAGAATCTAATGAACAGGAACATAGGATAGTAGGTTGTGTACGGTAAGAACACCCCAAACATTGACGACAGTATTCCAAACCCGATGACTGTAGGCTTACGACCGAAGCTGAATAGGCATAATTGTAAAACTGTACTGTGATGAAAGATAGCGTAAAGTATGTCATTTCAACAGATGTGACCAACAAAACCTGCCGTAGGGGAAGCAAAGTTAGCACAAACTGATCACTTCAATCTAACACATTCAAAATTTCACTCACTTGTCGCTGGCCATTCCTCCCACAACGCAACCAACCAGGTACCCGAAAGAGTAGAATAAGTGGGCGTGTCCTTTCATGAAGTAATCATCACACACTAAATTCCAGTCCGTTACGATGGTTTCGTGCATCACCTAGAATCGATCGATTATCTCTTAGAAGCACATCTTCGAGGCAATACCATTGCTGCTCATACGTCGGTTTTGTAGTGGAATTTTTCGCATTTCTTTTTTTCTGCACTGTCCTTCCATGCACTCTTCACAGCCTCCATCAATGGCATCCTTCGCAGCTCCTTATACCTCTCTACTGGCCGTGAATAGTAATGGCACTGAAATAAGCAGTAATCAGTAGACATCATTTTACCTATGAGCCGTTTGCAACAAGTTTAAGCGTGAAACTCAAAAGTATGTGATGGCATCGGGAAANAAATAATTGGGAACACAGAGGCGCTTGTGATTAGTTCTAATAACTGATAAACTAAATGATCCTGATAAATCAAAGAAATCATCGTTCAATCCGCACCACTGATATAAGGACTCCCATTTATCAGTTAATGACCTACAGAACACCTCAATGGACCTTTATAATGTTGATTAAATTCCACTTACTCCATATACGTGATCCGTCCCTTGGAGTAGGAAAAAAAAGTGCCCAACCGATTTTTGAGGACTATCGACGTCATTATTGATTATCGGAATTGGTGTGTGTAGACTAGCCACTTAGCTTTATGCAATCGCTATTGATCGCAAGACCAGATCTATGATGTATTTCTCTAAAAAGCAAAATTTCACCCACCGAATCACGTGTATAAGCTCCCGCTCTACCGTTCTCATTAGGAAAGACGAACGAGATGTTCTGCACATCTTGTAGCCCCCACTCGTAGACGGTCGTATCATTAGGGTTGTCGAATCCGGGCACCTGAAACAAATATAATAATTCACTGGTTTTGAATTTGTCATTGGATTCCTTCACAATTAGCAAGCCAAAAGTCAGCAAGTGAGCAGTAGGCAGTCTACAAGTATAGCAAACACCCACCTGACACCAGTGTTCAGGATCATACATCATATAAACAACATTCAGATTGAACATAGCGTGTGGGATTTGTTGCATCGCTATAAGAACGTAGATCCAGATCTGCCACCATGAACAACCGCCGATGATGTTAAGAATTCCTGAATGGTACAATTTAGAATTTAGTACCCACCGGCATTACAAGACATCCCACTCAATAGCTTGTGTTCCGGCCTTATCTCTTAACCATTTCTTGAACAAGGTGATAGCTGCTCGTTTTTCTCTGCCAAACATTCCATTTCAATGAATGATATTGGTAGAATTCTATGCTAACATTTCTCATTTTTACACGAGAGCACTTGATTATGTTCAGACTCTGCGAAACATAGGTGGCATTGTTTGTACCGAGATCAGGTAGAACGATGCAACGACTGCTTTTTACGTAACGACTTTTTGCATTCCGATTTTTGTTCGCTCTCAACGATACTAGAGAATAGCTTTGAAAAGAGACTGATAAACGCTGGCTCATCCTTTCATCTCTATATAGTTCACAGCTGCCTGTTGGATGCTTAGCAATAAGTTGTTGGTCGTCCAATATTGCGCTGTGACACCTCAAAACAATGAAATCTGCTTGCACCAGTAAGGTTTTGAAACGACCCTAATATTTCTTTTATCCTTTCATATCCATGAAATCTTCGTCTAATACTACTTTACTAATCGACTCTATTCATTCACGCTCTCGTACTCGATGTCTGATTGATCACCCATGTTTACGATAATCGAATTTAAGGCTTTCAGAAAGCTCAGGAAACATTCTTACCAAGGATACGCTTGAAATTTGCTAGAGGCTTGTCATTGCTTTCCGTTCTCTTTGTTTTCCCCGATCTAATCAATGATTAGATCGATGAAAACAAAGAAAACGGAAAGCTCAGTCGTGTAAGATAACAGCGGACCCAAAAAAGAAGGAGCAAGTTACCCTCAAAGTCGACTGGATCTGTGAAACGTCTTTCCCGCTTCGTGTCTTCACGGTACTTCTGCTGCATTCGTTGATGTTGCTCACGAATTTCTCGAGTCGAAAATGAGGGCTTTTGTTGTCGTCTGAGAAATAAGCCAGTGATAAAACCGCATCAATTCTGTTTTCTGAAGACCAAAATCAAAAACAAGTTTCCCGAAACTCCCTAAAATTGATTTGTGGCCAATCTTATAGATCCCGCAAGCTGATATATTGTTCATGACCCCGCAAAACTACAGCAATCCTTTCAAAAGCTAAACTATCTCTAAATAGTATCTTTTCCCAAGTATCAACGCTGAAAAAGCGAGGTACTATGTCAGTGCCTGTGTCCGCTTTATTCATGTGCATTTCGTCCCTTGATACTTTTTGCCTTTTTTCGTCGCAATACTCATCCTCCCTCTCCGCATCGACCGGTCAGAGAAGGCAGCAGAGAGATGCGCGGACAGAACAAACAAACTGAATCTCAAGGCGTGGCGGTTGCTTCAAAAGTCTAAAATCGCCTTGACAAGAGTCCTTAGCTCATTCCTTATCAAGTAAGCTTAAGATATCCTAATTTCGTACGATACCGCCTTTTTCTACACATGAACGTAACCTGCTCTTTAGAAAAAAGGAAACAAGTCAATGGGTACCGTACCCTCCTCCAGTGACGCTGGTTGTGAATGACACATCTGACATGTACATCGATGACTTCGGTGTTGTCTGCTCTGCGCGTTGTGCGTCTTCATCGTTGACGGCGTTGCTTGAAGCTATTCCACTATCACTTTTACCATTTACGGCATACATCTGGAAAAATACATCGCTCTTAATAGATCAATTCCAATTCCATACCCCGTGAAGCTAGCAAGAAACCACCAGCATAGAAATGAGACGAATGACCAGAAGGCCATCCTGATGGCTCTTTGCTAAAGTGAAGCAAAGGAATGGGGGCATACAATTGGCTCATATAATAACTGAAGAGTAAACTATACGAGTTAATTGGAAAAATTGACTGGTTTCGGTAGGTAGAAAAACCAAGGTCGCTCTTTTCTCAATATTGTTCTGACAAGTAGAATATCGATTCATTAATAATAAGAATTAATGTGATATAGCCGATATTGGAAGAACGATCCGGGGTGGTCAAAGTGTCCATTGACGAGCAGCTCATTGCCCTACCAATACTTTGAAATCAAAAGGTGAATAAATATGATTTATGATAAGGCAAGAACCATGGTAGGAATTCACGAGCTCTTTTCGGAGTTGAATAACTCATCTCCTGAGACTCTCAGTCAGCATTTCCTTCCAGTCAAAACTAAATGCGGTGTAAATAGCACCAAATTCGTACAACAATACGGTGAATGGCAGTATTTTGTCGCAAACATTTAGACGACATACAACCTACGGCAAGGATGGTTTATTTCTCCGAAGCACTCCTTTGGATGAGAAATCAAAAAAGGTGTCCATGTCGATGAATCTCGGCATTCTTCCTTTAGTTTTGAAGTTAATTTTTAAGCTGTAGAGCCGAGATTTTAACAAGCTTTATTAGGTGACGTTTCGTTGCTTTCACCTTCCTCGGAGCCTGGAAAGACAAGAGGCATTTGAAAAACCATCCTATCAAACACTATTTCAATCTACAAAGAAAGTTCAAAGGGCGTGGGCTANTAGCCCACGCCCTTTGAACTTTCTTTGTAGATTGAAATAGTGCTTGATAGGATGGTTTTTCAAATGCATTTTGTCTTTCCAGGCTCCGAGGAAGGGAAAGCACCGAAACGTCAGCCTAATAAAGCTTACTAATATCTCGGTTCTACAGCTTAAAAATTCACTTCAAAATCAAAAAAGGGTTTGAGCTACAAATTTCGTCTAGAACAAACAATATAGAGACAAGTATTCTAAAAGCATTATTTGCGAGGACAACCTCATCGTGTGCAGTACTAAATCAATATGAATTTCTACTTCAGCGTCATCAATGAGTATGAGCATAACTATTGCTTGGGCATAGCCCAGCATCACAAATGAAGTTGGAATAGTACTAAGCGCAGAAATTAGCAATACTCAACTCCAAACATCGTATATCTGATGAGGAAAAGGAGTATGAAATGGGATCTCAATAGCCCGAGGCCCTAATATAGAAACTAATGTGAACTCTTAATTGCCTCAAAACACATCAGTAAAATGCCACGATTGAAATCGATCACCCGAATTTGGAAAGAGTAAAGGGAAGGCGGGTACACTGACCAATTTTGTTAAATATGAATATGCGCCATAAATTCGATTTCCTTACAAACTGCTGCGACATCTGAGATATTTGTAACCTATACAATAAATGACCTGGGCAAGCCGAAATCAGGATATTTAGTGCTTCTGACAGTACGACAGAAACAAAGGCAACGCTGAGGTTTGCACGCATACTTCACTACAGGCAAATTCAATGTAGCTACTTCTTGGCAAAATATAGAGGGCTCAGAATGCAGGAGATAGCAGGACTTCAAGGCATACGAATATGGATTTAGACAAGATAAAAAAATCGGAAAGGAAAACGAATGCCCAGAAGAGAAATACGAATAAAATGTAATATTCAATTATCAAAGAACCAGCAAGTTTTTATGCCGGAGCCGCGCTCTTCTCCTTAATGTTGGCTCGCCGCCTGCACCACTACCAAATTCGACAATCAGGAAAAATAGAGTTATTAAACTCCTGCTGGCTAACACAATCCGTTCCCCCCCCCCCCCCCCCCGCAGCGCGTTTAAGTAACCTGGTTCATTACTCATTTACTCCAACTTGATTGCGTATTGCTACTCAATATACGCTCATTTCACGGACGCTCCGGCAACCCCTCGCCTTCTACCCCCTCCTCTGTGCGAAATGTAGTCAGGGGGTGCAGGCGATACACCACCACTGTATCGCCTGTACACCTACCAAATTTGAAAGCTCTAGGTCCAAATTAACAACCTGCCGCTCTACCTCCTGAAGGCGGGTCTTCCTGCCCCCTGTACTCGCAACATATCTGAACGCTATAGGAACAGAAACTGAATTACGGGAACACACACCGACACACACGCATCGACACGTACCCCCGACACACACCGACATACACACTCACACACACACAAACATACCGACACACATACTAGCACATACACACCAACACACATACACACTGACCAACAAACAGGCACACGGTGAGTTACATAGAGTAGGATCATATGATTGCATGATGAAAAGATAATTGAGCAAAATAGACATAGGAAAAAGTCGACGAAAGAAACGTAAAAAACGATGGAAACAGCCCTTGAAGGGAGCAGCTTACCCGTGGTAGAGCAGTATCGCTGATCGCGAAAATCGGTGCTAATGACATCTGTGTCGGATGACATTGTCCAGCAAGGGCGGGTTCACTGAAATTCAAAAAAAAAAAAAAANAAATTCAAAAAAAAAAAAAAAAATTGCAGCGGCAAAAAACTCAAATCCAGAAAGGCAAGAGAACGAAGATATCTCTACATCCTTACAGCTGGACTTTGGACTCTCAAATTACTTGGCAGCAACAATTCCCTCATTGTCTAAGCCTAGCCGTCTTCGCAATCCAGCACTCCGCATTCGTGACGCTAAGAGTGTGGGAAACAAGCTCGTTTACGAATCGCTGACGGTCGATAAGCGAAAGCGTCAGAGAAATATTCTACTTTCATCTTTTGCATCTTTTGCTCGTATGAGCGGAAGAAATCAATTATAGCAATCAGTCAAAACTCATGCAAATTTCATAATCATTTGGAATTAGACTTAGGAAATTGGTCATGCATGGAAACCACATCACAAACTGCGCTCAGAAAGTACTTGGTTCGACCAATGCTCAATTTCATTTCGATACTGGTTAATCTTCCGTCAATCCTCTTTCTGAATAAGCTATTCCTTCACGCAGCAAAAGCAGGAATGTATCAATAGNATACTGGTTAATCTTCCGTCAATCCTCTTTCTGAATAAGCTATTCCTTCACGCAGCAAAAGCAGGAATGTATCAATAGTCAGGAGGAGAGAGCGATTAGGAAACTACATCCTGCTTAATTTCCTTGATATTATACAATTGGGTCGTGCATGAGCAAATTATGAGACATTACTAGGCTATTAACGTCTCAAAATGTATTCTTACTACATTATCCTACAAGGAAAAGCAAGCACAAAAAGCATAAAATTATTCAGTACGTTTAGATTATAGCACTGAAATACCAGATAACCATTTATTATTTTAGTACTTAAAAGTATGCGTACCACAGATATAAATCCTCAAGTCACGTTCACGAAATCTCATTATGGTTCGTGGTTTACCACTGCCTGAATCAGTGTGCTCAGAAACATTTTAAGTCTTTCAAATTCATTCTGTCATTGCATAAATCGTATCATAAGTGTAGTCGCATCTTATAAGTAATGTTAAAGGCGCAGTTCACGATAATTTCGAAGTACCCCTTTTTATTCATAATCATTTTAATCATCATTTTTTACTCAAAAAAAGCGGAAGTATAGTTTGGGGATAGTTCACTGGTAGTGAAGAAAGCAGGGAATTCGTCAACTCCGAGGAAAATAAAGCTCTTCAAATGTAGAGGAAACAAAGGTTGGACGAGATTACCATAACGGAAATAAGGTAAGGGGTTTCGGATTAGATTTCAGTTGTTGCAGTTGCACAAAGAGCTGACTACATTAAGCAAGAACTGTACAGAACTGCCTTTCACGGTCGCTTTGGGCTATGACAAGTTGTTTGAACTTCCTAGATGTGCTCTCTTGTGGACGGTGCAGCCTCTACAATGTCGATGAAACTCGTCCACGCATACACACGGGCCAATCTTTGAGCCTTCATAGCTCCCTAACTAGGCCGTTTCCCGACCTGATAGCGCGAATATGGTATACGAGGGGGCCTCGAATTATCCTATGCGGGAATCTCACAAATCATTTTTATCGTGAATTTTGCCTTTAAACAAGAGGTTTCAATGAGAAGTACCGTATTAAAACAGCAATCAGTGGCGGTAAGTTTTTGCTGAGCAGCCCAAATTTGTTCGAGAGCGAGCAGGCTCGATATGCGCCCTGCACAGTTTGGTCTGACTAATTGTCAAACCGCTGAACAACCTCGGCGTTCATTGAGTCTCGTCCATCGGTACGTAAGCGATGTAGGATCTCACGGAAGAAAGGAAAGGTTCGAGTAGTAGAAGAAGACCACTGCACAGGAGGAACTTGTGACTCGTCGGCTTTTCGTCAACTTGGCAACTAAGATTAAGCAACTTTACCGACCCAGCTTTACAGAATGATGGTTAAAAGGGTGATCGAGCATACAGTAACATCGCCCGATCTCACCTTCGTCCCACCCATCGACTCACCACACTCCGCAGGGAGGTTCGGTTACAGCTGATAGGGATTTGGCTGCTAATTAGTCAAAGTGATATTTTCCAAGGAGACAAGGCTCAACCGAATAGTCCTAATGGTTACGCGTACTCCAGATAAGGTTTACGGAAAGAACAAACACCTTAGCAAACACAAATTTGGTTTGAGAAGATTCCACTAGGGTAGAAACCACAGGTCGCCTTCACCTCCACCCATATAAACTCATCCGACCATCAAAAAATGTTTGGTTAACACATTCCATAATACTTCTACCAGTTGACTTATTGTACAGCAGATCATGCGACTATCCTAATCGGTCTTATTGGGCATGGTTGAAAGAGCAGAACAACTTCTATGAATGGCCTGCAGAGTCTCCTGATTTGAAACTCTAGGAGATCTCCCAGGGCCATCACTCAGGGAAGGACGTTGCCAATGCGGCAGATCTCAAAGTAGCAATCAGTCAGGGACGAGGTAGTTTGGATTCGCAGATCCACATACAGCTCGCCAATTTTATGCCGAATCGGTTTCTCGAGGCCATTCCAAGCATGGTAAACTGGAGATTCCCATTGTTTGGTTTCAGAATAATGGAATTAGATTTTTAAAGCAATCT